TTTTTTTTTTTCTGCTTTAGCCAAGAGGAGAAAGAAAGAGAAATATTATTTGCATAATTACAAGCAGCTGAGATCTGGCATTTGACCAAATGACTTCCATAAGAAAAAGAAGTCAAAGCTGTTTAATCTAGTGTAGAAAATCGGATGCCGATGATTTCACCGTGCTGGTTTTTACCTGTAACGCTGCATATTCAGGAAGTTAACATAGTGTTAAATTCACGCTGTGCGTCATTTTGTAGATAGACAGAAAACTTAGGTTTACATCTTTGTAAGTTAACATAAACAGTAGAAACTCCAAAGCACAGATAGTTGGGTGAAGATGACATGACATTGTTAACTCTTCCTAGTTTGCTTTGATAATCTGCCAAAAAACTTTAATCAAGTTTGTTTGAGACTTGGGAAAACTAGAACAGCTGTCTTAGAGAAGATACATTTTTAAAAAAATTATTAAAGCATGCCACTACTGTATATGTTAAATATTCAGATCTCAGTGTTGTTTATAAGCACTTAAATGGAATCCCAGCACTTACTGGAAGAGTACAGTGCACTATGGGTTTGCGTTGTGTCCTGAAGGCTGGCACACCACGGCTTTGCAAGACACCAGAGAACCAAGAGTTAAAGCTTATGAGAAACTTCGGTCTTGTAGGTTTTTGGACTAGACATAGATTTTAGATTTGGAGCTGCAGTGATATGTAATGGAGTAGTCATTAAAAATAGGCGTTAAGGATCTCTCTGTTTTAAAATAAAAGAGTATTTAAAGGGCAAAATAGTCTCCCTTAACATCTATCTCCTGAGAGATTAAACCTGTACTTCTTACATGGACCTAACTGCAGAAATGGTGCTGTATCTGACACTAACGCAAAGAGTTGTCTGTTCCTGCTCTTTCTTTCTAACTGGTCTGTGATTGGGGTTTCCCAGGGACAGGGTTGGAGAGGGGGAGAAAGATGGGAACAGCAGTTCTGCAACTTCACATTCACCAAAGGGAGGCATGCAGGCAGGGAGCAGGATTGCTATAGCTTCCCAGATACATGAGTTGTTCCAGACTCAATCCATTACCATTATCCCAAATTGCCCTTTAAGCATTGTGAGTGCAATTTTTTTTTCTCTCTCTTTTTTCATGTTGGACACATGACTAAGGGAATAACTTTGAAATTATGTAGCTTGATTGAGATGGGGTCAAGCAAATGGGACCTTACTGCCTTGAGAAATAATTTATATGAATATAACTCAAGCAATTTATTTGTGTTTCCTTTCAGGTGGCATTAAATGTCCAGTTTGCAGCTTCGTGTATGGTACAAAATGGGAGTTCAACAGACATCTTAAAACCAATCATGGAATGAAGATAGAACATGATGGGGACACCAAGTGGGAGGTAAAGCAAAGAAAAAGAAGTATTCAAAAACGTGTTCTTGACTTTACATAAGATCAGGAGATATGTGATCTCATCTCCATTTTGAATTCATTCGTTGCTGTAACTGTTAAGCTTGACTGCTCTAATATCTGGTAGGATTAACAGCCTTATAAGTGCTTATTTCTCAGTTTGGGCCTCTAGTCCTCTATTTGCAGCAGAAAGGGTGAAAGTTTTAGCAAAAACCCGTGAAATTGAAAAACTTGCTGCATTTTGTTGTATGCCAAATGTTCACTGGTATTAACTGCAAGATACACAAAGCTCTAAACTTGTAATTAATCAAAAGAGCTTATGTCTTGGTCCCGGAAAGGTTAGAACCTAGAAAACCAGATTTGTAAATTGACAGGTAAAAAAATGGTATCGTTATACAGAGTAAGTCTTTTATAATTTGTTCTGTGTTTTCAGCATCATTCCCAAGTGTATAGAAAATCACAGTATCACTAAGATCAGATGTTAAAAAAATTAAATTAGACCTAAGAATCTGAATTAGGACAAAACAAACCAACAACCTGAATTTTCTCGGTTTGGAATGGGGTAGGGCAGCTATCTTGAGAGAGTTTAACCTTTCAAGCTTTTATCTGCTGTCATGTGCGTAGCAATTTGTTCTAAAATGAAAACAGCAGAGGTGGCTGTAGATGGAGAATCTGTGGGAAAACCACAGAACCATCTAGATGCTTTTATTAAAAAATGACAGTTGGCTAGCAGTGTCTTTTTTCCACTTCCTGAGCAGGCTCTTGGTGTCCAGTGAGAGGAAGAAACTGGAAGCCAACTGCAGCTGGCTGACCTCCACAGTTAAAGATCTGTTCTGCTAAATTTCAGTCAGTCTAGCCCCTGTTACAAATCTAATGCCTGATTTGGAGAGCCATCCTGCTGTTGTTAACAGGTTTTGAGTATTCACAGATAGAATGTTAAGTCCTTGAAAAAAATCAGAGTAGGTTATAAATGGTTAGTTATTCAAAG